TCTTCAGCACCTTCCATCTTAGTATTGCTTTCTTTAGTTTCTGTTGCTGTTTGAATTGCAGATTTTTTAGTTAAGATCAAGGTTTGGTTATCAGGTTCTCAGTAGGTTGTAGCTGGTATTCTTTAAAGTCCACTTTGATGTTAATTTCTTCCTCTTCTGTTGCATTTTGGATTGTAAGTTCATCAGTTGAAATCTGGGCTGCATTTTGTAGCTTTAAGATGGTGCCTTTATCTTTCAGTCTGGTATTCATTAGCTCAGTGGCCTCAAGGATTTTTTCAAGTATAAGTTTGTAGCTATGTTGTGGGTAGTATTCCTCCATTTCTATGGTGTTTAGAGATAGTCCTTTAGTGGAGGCTATTTTTGATAAAAGTCAGTAAACGTCCACCTCCACTATAAAGAATTGTTTTCACCACCCAGCTGTTTCAAATTCTTATCTTTTTTGATAGTGCCAAGGACAAATCTTAGTCTCACAGGTCTCCCAGTCAAAAGGAAATTTACTTGCTGTACCAAATTTCACCACAAGATATCCCCAGTAGCATGTAAAGTCTTTTTCCAAACTCAAGTTAGGCTTTTATCCAGTTTAAGAAAAAATATTCTTTTTTTTCAACTTAGCAGATAGGTAAGGTAATAGATCTCCATAGAAGTAGGAACCTTTTGGGACCCCAAATATCCAAAAAGTGCAAGTCCAATTATTTAGTTGTTTAGTTTAGTTGTTCTTTCCCCCCAAAAAAGCTTTGTATTCCCAGGGTAGGCAGAAGCCACCAAGTTAAGAGGGAGGAAGAAATTTCCAAAGGCTTTTACAGGAAGATAGTTGGGATGCAAGAAAGGTAAGGTAAGGTCTCACCCAATTCCTCTGCGGTGCTTTCGTTGTGCTTGGTAGTGCTTTTGGCTTTTGGGTGGTATGACTTAGTGATCGGCCATGTTAATGGCTGATCTTTTCTTCGTCAGTCCAAAGGAGCTGTCTTGGATCAAACAGAAGGGCTGCCGCCCTTCCACGATCTGACGGGGGTCCTCCTCATGGTGGTCGCCCCTCCAGGGTGACTTTTGACCCTTTTCAGGGTCTTCCGACAAAGGAAAACCAAATGGAGGAGAGAGCGCTCTCCCGTGCATCCGCCGGGGCTGCGATCGCAAACCGGAAGTCACTTGCTAGAATTTTTATTCCGCTATCCTTTGATCTTATTAAAGAGAATGGAAGTATGTATTTTAAACTCTATTTATTTTGCCCCATTTTACAGCCTTTCTTGCCACAGTTGTTAAGGGAATCATAGCAGTTGTCAAATTAGTAACACGTTTGTTAAGTGAAACTGGCTTCCCCATTGACTTTGCTTGTCAGAAAGTCTCAAAAGGGGATCACATGATCTCACAACACTGCAACTGACATAAATATGAACCAGTTGCAAAGCATCACATGAGCATGGGATTGCTGCATGGTTGTAAGTGTGAAAGTGGCCATAAATCCCTTTTTTTTAGTGCCATTGTAACTTCAAACTGTCACTAAATAAACTGGTGTTATTCAAGGACTACCTGTAATGGATGGAAACTTGTCAAAGAGAGAACTGATGATGTTACCTAGTTTGTGGAATGAAATATCTGCAAATGTCTATGGAGATTCTCGGTAATTCAGTGATTTGATTTGAGATGCAGACAACACAGGCTCATCCCCAACAGCCCGCACCTGTCTTCAACAGTGAAGGGACACAGGGCAGAAAACATCCTGCAGCCAAGAAGGCTCCACACACATTTGCACTACTCAGGTGACCCTGAGGACACAGGTAAACCTCCAAATGGCCTCAATGACTCTCTACAAGAATGCAAATGACTAGAAGTTTGCAAGGAGTATAAATCCTTCCATTCCCCACCACCCAGTCAGAGCTGAAGGAGCTTCTAGGATGAGATGAAACGTCTTCAAAAGAAAAACAAGGAAGTCCAGTTGCCTCCTGAAAAAGGACCTTTGGGACAACCATGACCTGGATGACTGAGAATCTCCATATATCTTGTAGGAGGAAGTTACAAATGGATTCTATTAGCACTGAGAAGTTCCTGTCGCTTGTGCCTATAACATGTTCTCGTACGTGAACCTTTACATCATGTTAGAAGCTTTTGATGTGCATCATATAAGATAGAGGCTGGCAAGCACTGCAACTGTGGTCACCATACCACATGTGTCTCTCAGTGTCTATGTGACTCCCAACATGAATAAATATTATAATAATAAAAATTAACATAGCCAGAATCTTACAAAATGGCAACATTGCACAAAGGCTTGGTATTCCCACCTGACATTCATAGAGATGTTTGCAAGAACTAGACCTGTTTTATTTTTTAACATGAATGTCCTCAGGAATCACTTATCATTCTCTGCTGATGTCCTCAGGTATTATTTTCTCTAATGGCCACGTCTGGAAACAGCAGCGACACATCGGCATCACTACTCTGAGGAAGCTGGGCCTGGGGAAGAAGAGCATTGAGCATCAAATAGAAGACGCAGCTCAGACGTTGGTGGAAACATTTAAAAAAACAAAAGGTATGCAATTTGGGCAGAATTTTTTTCCTTTCTCTGTATTTCTAACAAGAACAGACGTATTTGATAAGATTTTTTAAATTTTTTGAAACAATTGCAGTTCCCAATTATGTTGTTCATTGCATAGATGTCCTGTTCTTTAATAATTGATTATGAAATATCTTCATTTGCAGGACAGCCATTTGACCCTTCAATGCCAGTAATAAATACAGCTACTAATTTCATATGTACTTTGAGTTTTGGACATCAGTTTGCTCCTGAAGATGAAAACTTCCAGAAACTAATTCAAGCATTAGAAATTATTGTAAAATTCGGTGGTAGCTTTTTTTATGTGGTGAGTCATGTTTTCTGTTAAAGAGACAAAACTGTTTCCATTAATATTTTCATGTAATCATGAATGGAATCCATGGAGGAAGCCTTGGAAAATGTCTATTGTACTATTATCCCCCGTAGCCAAGACAAGTCTTTGCAGTTTCCTTGTCAAGATTTCGGAAGTTGTTTGCCATTGCCTACTTTCTAGGGCTGAGAGAGAGGGACTGGTCAGTGTCACCCAATCAACCAGAGGCTGCCCCAAAGAAGAGGGATTCAAGCTATTCTCCAAAGTGCCTGAAGGCAGGACAAGAAGCAACAGATGGAAACTAATCAACAAAAGAAGCAAACTAGAACTAAGGAGAAACTTCCTGACAATTAGAACAATTAACCAGTGGAACAACCTGCCTCCAGAAGCGGTGAATGCTCCAACCCTGAACGTTTTTTAAGAAGAGACTGGACAGCCATTTGTCTGAAATGGTATAGGACTAGATGACCTCCAAGGTCCCTTCCAACATTATTATTGTTGTTGTTGTTGTTGTTGTTTTTATTTTTATTATTATTATTATTATTATTATTATTATTATTATTATTACTATTATTATTACTATTATTATTATCTTTGTGCTTGAGTTGGGACTAATACTCAGAATATCTGAGTTTCTAGGCTGATGGATTAACAACTACACCAAAGTGTTTCTGCCCAGGAAGGAATCCATTATTTCAGTATCACTAGGAGATGGCTGTCCATTCTGTGTTTAAACGCTTCTAGAAAAGATGATCCAGCACTTCCTGGGTCAGTCTGTCATTGAACACGTCTTTCAAATTTTTCTTAATAGCAAACCAATGTCGGACTTCCGGTGGCAGGCGCCTTCGCTGGACGCAGCTGTTTGCTGCTCCCGCCTGTTTCTGCGTAAAAGCCGTTTTGACAGCCTGCATCAGCTGTCAAACGGCTTGATACCTTTCCCCTGGGCATAGGGGGAAAGGTGAGCTGCCCGAGGTAGGAGTTGAGTTCCCGAGTCGTCCCTTGTGGATGATGTAGGTGAGAAC